GCCACCTTAGGTGTATGTGGCTGGCGCCTTAGCCGCTTGAGCCACAGGCGCCGAGCCGGAAGAGAGTTTCTTAAGGCTTGCTCAAATGTTTTCTTGGAGAACTTAACTGATATATCCTTGCTGCAAGTTTCATTAGTGAAAAGAAGAATTTTTTTTTTTTTTTTTTTTTTTTTTGTGAAAAGAATTTTATGTCACAGAATACCTCAGCCTCTTCAGCAGTAGGAGTCGGTAGAAAGCAGTGGTAAGGCCAGGCCTTGTGGGCCTTGCTCATGATTTGCTGTGGAATCCTGGGAGTGTACCCAGAGTCTCCGCCCTTGTGGTGTTATTTTCTTCCTTTTACATATGAGGAATCCAAGGCTCAGAGGTCAAGTTGCTTATCCAAGACATGACAGCTGTAAGGGGCAGAGCAGGGATTCACACTCACCTGTCTTGCACTGCTGGGCTAGGCTGAGAGAGGCTGCAGTCAGGGAGGGCTTCCTGGAGGTGGGGGGATGCATTTGCCTGTGGAAGGCTGGGCAGGATTGGGGTCGGGCAGGGTGGCATGAAGCCCTCTGCCTTAGTGAGCCTCTCACCAGATTGGAATCCCAGGACTGTCCTTTTCCTGCCCATCTAGGGTCTTTAGGGGGCAGGAAAGACACACATACACCCATATTCCCCCCAACCCCCCGTAGGAGGGGGTGCCATTTAGCTCACGTGGCCAGGCCAGCTGCCTGGTACCTGTTACAGACTTTAGGTCTGGATTGGTTTCCAGAAGTTGGTAGTGATGCAACTGCCTGGGAAGAGAAGCTCGAGTTGCCTGCCTTGCTCTATTTCCAAGGGGCTTAGGACACTTTCCAGAAGGTGCCAGCAGACACCATGTACTCTCCCAAGGAAGATGAGGTTACATCAGGCTTAATGAGCTCTGGTCCTAGAAGGCAGCTTTTGCTGGCTTCCGACATGTCCTGTCACCATTCTCTGCCTTTGCTTACTGTTCTTTCCTCTGGTTGTTTGTGCCTTGAGCATCTATAATAACCCTCAGGGCCTGTCTCAGGCACGTTCAGGTTACCCACTATCCCCCTCTGTCTGCAACACAATGGGGGTGACACATGCTTTACTTTCCCCAGACTCCTGGGGTAGGGAGCTTCTATTTCCTTAAATATATAGGGGTTCTTGGTATAAGACCACGACGTTGACAGAGGCCTCAGGGCTTGCCTGTCTAGTGGATAGAGGACTGAGGTGACTCTCTGGACCACACTGTACCATGCCCAGCTAGGAGTGTGGCTGCTGAGTGGGGGTCTTCACACTCTGACCCTTGCCCCCAGGATCGGGCAGTGTTACATGTGGCCCTGCGGAACCAGTCAAACACACCCATTCTGGTGGATGGCAAGGATGTGATGCCAGAGGTCAACAGAGTTCTGGAAAAGATGAAAACTTTCTGCCAGGTAAGTAGTGGCTGGGCTGGACTTGCCCTTGGCTGTGTATACATGTATTTGGGATGCTGGAAGCCCCGATGGCCGGCTCCTCCATTCTCCCTGGAGGCAGGACTCAGGCCCTCACTATAGCCTGAGGTAGGGGTGGCCTGTGTGATCACTGCCCCTGGGATCTCTGCTGAGCCTCCAGTTTCCTTAGCCCTGCTCTGAGGGAGCCCAGGGCTGGCAGCCGTGGACGTAGTCTCTTTCCTGAATTATAAACACCTGTGGTCTCAAGCTGGCCAGAGGCAGAAACCTGAAATAAAAAATGAGCTTCCAGAGAGACAGGATAGTGGGGGAGACCTGCATTTCCTCTTTCTTTTCTTTTCTTTTTTTCTTTCTTCCTTCCTTCCCCTCCCTCCCTCTCTCTATCGACAGAGAGTCATCATAGTTGTCAGCAACCTCGAACTGATGACACCTGTGGTGTCATCATAGTTGACAGCAACCTCGAACTCCTGGGTTCAAGTAATCCTCCTGCATTTAGCCTTCCAGGTAGCTGGGACTACAGGCGCCCACCACCATACCTATCTAGTTTTTTCTACTTTTAGTAGTGACGAAGTCTCACTCTTGCTTAGGCTGGAACTCCTGAGCTCAGGCGATCCACCCACCTCAGCCACCCAGACTGCTAGGATTACAGGCATGAGCACCGTACCTGACCAAGACTTGCATTTTCTAACCTCTTTAGTCATATTCCCTTATTGCATCATCCAGAATCAGCCAAAAGAAAAGTTGTGAAAGTGCCTCAACCCTACGCCCTGCCCACTCCCCAGAGGCAGCATTTATAAAACTTCCCGTGCTGGTGTGATAGTTCATGCCTATAACCCTAGTGCTTTCGGATAGCTTGAGGTCAAGAGTTCAACACTAGCCCAGAAAACATTGTGACACACCATCCCTAAAAAAAAGAAAAATTATCCAGGCATGGTGGTGGGCGCTTATAGTCCCAGCCCCTCAGGACACTGAGGCGGGAGTGTCAGTGTTTGGACCCAGGAGTTTGAGGTTACAGTGATTATGCCACTTGCACTCCACCCTGGGCATAGAGCAAGATCTTATCTCAAAGAAAAAAGATTACATAAAAAAGTTTCCTGTGGAATCTTCCAAAATGTGGCTTTGCATGTATTAGCATATGCGAGCACCTGCTGTCTCCTCTTTGAAACACATACACTTGTACACGCACATGCGCACACACACAGGTTCATTTTCTACCTACTCTTCTGCAGCTTGTTCCCACTTAGAAATAAATATGTCAGGGCAGTACCTGTGGCTCAAAGGAGTAGGGCGCTGGCCCTAGGCCCTAGGTTCAGGCCCAGCCCCTGCCAAAAACTGCAAAAAAAAAGAAAAAGAAATACCTCGGAGGTGTCCCTATGTCACACGCACATAACCACGCCCACTCCTTTTCCTGTGTATGTCAGGCAGGGAGAGGGGTTGCCTCAGAAACCACCTCCATTTCCCCACATCAACCACTATTACATCAACGTCTATCCCAGGAGTGTTTCTGCAAAGGTCAGCAGACACCCCCCAGCCTAGAGTACCGGGTGATGTCTGGGGGCCATGTGTCTCCACAAGTGAGCATGTCTGTCCGTATGGGCCGTGCATGCTCTGCGGGTGATCATCCAAGCTCACCTCGAAGAGCAGTGGCCCTTGTGTGTGGCTGGTCAAAGTCTGTTTGATTTGGCCAAGGGCCACTTTTAGACCTGAAAATGATGCTGGCAGTAGGAGGTGATCTTGGCATCGATCCTGAAGGCCTGGCAGCCTTAGGAGTGGGACTTCGTAGAGGAAGGAAGCCTGGGATCGAAATGGGAACCTGGATTCCAGAATGTCTCTTAGGGTGGTCAGTCTGCATGACAGGCTCTGGGTGTGGGTAGGGAAGGGCATTTCCAGCTGAGTGCTGTGAGTGGCAGAAATGATGTGCCTCAGAAACTGGGGCTCTGTTTGATCAATCTTAGTGTGCTCTGGCATGCACAGAGCACTGTGGACAGTGTAACACACCATCCCTAAAAAAAACTTATGGACCGAGTGGCACTGACCATCTGGATTCCTGTTTCCAGGAAAGTCCTTCCTTAAACCTGGCCCCTGGAGTACCTGACTCAGATTGGTGGGATATTTATAGTTCATATAAAGCTTCTGAACAGCAGTAATTCCGTGGTGAGGAACATTCCCCATGGCTATACTCTGGAAAGTTTGCCAAGATTGGGTGAAGATGTTCAGTGTGACCTTGATTGTAGCGGCAAAACCTGAAACCCGGCTCGGCGCCTGTGGCTCAAGCGGCTAAGGCGCCAGCCACATACACCTAAGGTGGCGGGTTCGAATCCCCAGCCCGGGCCTGCCAAACAACAATGATGGCTGCAACCAAAAAATAGCCAGGCGTTGTGGCGGGCGTCTGTAGTCCCAGCTACTTGGGAGGCTGAGGCAGGAGACTCGCTTGAGCCCAGGAGTTGGAGGTTGCTGTGAGTGTGATGCCACGGCACTCTACCCAGGGGGATAATAGCTTGAGGCTCCGTATAAAAAAAAAAAAAAAAACCTGAAACCCATCTGCACTCATTTATCAGAGGACTTATCAGTAAAACCAGTGTATATACACATATTGTAGTCCTGCGTGCACTTAGGAATTAGGGAGCTGCTACTGGATTGACTCACTGTGCCACTCAGGACATAGTAGGACATTGAAAACAGTAGTCAGAGAAGTAGTGGGTGTTGGAAGACTTTCTCTGCTCTAATAAAGGATATATCTAGTTATATTAAAGATAAACACATTAACCCCTTTGGGGAATGCTTTTTTTTTTTTGGAGACAAACCCTCACTATATTGCCCTCAGTAGAGTGCTGTAGCACCATAGCTCATAGCAACCTCCAACTCTTGGGCTTAAGCAATTCTCTTGCCTCAGGCTGCCAAGTAGCTGGGACTACAGGTGCCCGCCACAATGCCCAGCTATTTTTTGTTGCAGCTGTCATTATCTAGCTGGCCCAGGCCCGGCTTGAACCCGCCATCCTTGGTGTATATGGCTGGTGCTGTAACCACTGTGCTATGGGCGCCGAGCCAATAGCTCCCTCTCTGGGCTTTATCTTCACACTGTGCTTTTGTGACGGTGCCTGGCTAAGGGGGATGCTTTATTACAACCCTTGGTGTTGAGATTGAGGAATGAGAAGCTGACCCACTTATTTCTTTGTGTATTAATGGAAATTTTCCCATGGCTGTCAATTAGTTGTTAAATTGAAAATAAAAGTTACTGGGTCTTGGCTCGGCACCTGTAGCTCAAGCAGCTAAGGCACCAGACACATACACCAGAGCTGGCAGGTTTGAATCCAGCCCGGGCCTGCCAAATAACAATGACAATTACAACCAAAAAATAGCCAGGCATTGTGGCGCACACCTGTAGTCCCAGCTACTTGGGAGGCTATGGCCAGAGAATCACCTAAGCCTAGGAGTTAGAGGTTGCTGTGAGCTGTGATGCCATAGCACTCTACCCAGGGCGACAGCTTGAGGCTCTGTCTCAAAAAAAAAAAAAAAAAAGTCACCAGGTCTTGATTTGGGAAAGACATGAGCATGTATTACTTTTCTTTTCTTTTCTTTCTTTCTTTCTTTTTTTTTTTTGGTGAGATAGTCTCAAGCTGTCGCCCTAGGTAGAGTACTGTGGCATCATAGCTCACAGCAACCTCCAACTTGAGCTCTAGTGATCCTCTTGCCTCAGTTTTTCTATTTTTAGTAGAGATAGTGTCTCACTTTTGCTCAGGCTGGTCTTGACTCCTGAGCTCAAGCAATCCACCTGCCTCGGCCTCCCAGAGTGCTGGGATTACAGGTGTGAGCCCTCTCTCCCAGCCTTGTATTACTTTTCTATTGATGTGTAGGAATTACTTTAAAACTTGGCAACTGAAAATAGGAGTTGCTACTTCTTTTATTTCTTTTTAGTTTTTATTTTTTATCTTATTATTATTTTATTTATTTATTTATTGAGACAGAGTCTCACTATGTTGCCCTGGGTAGAGGGCTGTGGCATCATAGCTCACAGCAACCTCAAACTCTTGGGCTTAAGTGAGTCTCTTGCCTCAGCCTCCCAAGTAGCTGAGGCTACAGGTGCCCGCCACAATGAGGGGGCCACAGTGCCTGGCCTTACTGTTTTTTTCCTTTTTTGAGATAGGGTCCCTCTCTGTTGTGTAGGCTAGAGTGCAGTGGCATCATTGGAGCTCACAGCAACCTCAAACTCCCAGGCTCACTCAATCCTCCTGCCTTAGCCTCCTGAGTAGCTGGAACTACAGGCACACACCAACACATCCAGCTGATTTTTCTGTGTTTAGTAGAGATGGGGTCTTAAACTCTTGGTTTCGAGCAATCCCCCACCTCAGCTTCCCAAAATGCTAAGATTACAGGTATGAATCACTGTGCCTAGACGAGATAATTACCTTTTTTTTTTTTTTTTTGAGGCAGAGTCTCACTGTGGTGCCCTGGTATCCACATGAGTGCTGTGGTATCACAGCTCACAGCAACCTCCAACTCCTGGGCTTAAGCAATTGTCTTGTTCCAGCCTCCTCAGTAGCTGGAACTACAGGCACCTGCCATCACACTTGGCTAGTTTTTTCTATTCTAAGTACAGACGGGATCTCACTCTTGCTCAGGCTAGTCTCAAACTCCTAAGTTCAAGCAATTCACCTGCCTTGGCCTCCCAGAGTGGTGAGATTACAAGCTGTGCCCGGCTCTAGGTAATTAATTTTTAAAAACGGGAGGAAATGAAAGGCACACAATAGCAGTTCTAAAATTCAGCAGGACATGCATTGCCAATTATTTGGGTAGAACTCAAGGCCTGGGAACAAGGCTTCAAGGCTCCTGACTTCACTCTTATGCATTATTTTTACGGGACAGGTAAAGACTGCACAGTTTTCTCAGCCTGTTTACTACCTGTGCTAGCGTGGGTGTCCTAAAGCCTCTTTTTCTTCGATACTATTTCCTGTCCTTTTCAGTCCAAGCTGATGGTGTTTCTGACAATTCAGTTATTTTTAAAACTTTGTGGGTCTCTTATGAAGCTTATGGGGGAGGGTTTCACAGTATTAGGCTGGAGCCATCCCTGTAGATTTCTCTGCAAGATAAATCCTTTTCTACTTTTGCTTCTGAGGCAGAGATAATACCCTTAAGCTTCTTAGAAGCTGTATCTTTGACCAAAAGGCTCTCTGTGTTACTCCTTTAACCTCTTCCTGAGGCCTCAGCAGAGGGTTTACAGCTCCCACTCTTTTTTGAGACAGAGTCTCACTTTGTTGCCCTCAGTAGAGTGCTGTGCTGTCACAGCTCACAGCAACCTCCAACTCTTGGGCTTAAGCGATTCTCTTGCCTCAGCTTGCCAAGTAGCTGGGACAACAGGTGCCCGCCACAACGCCCAGCTATTTTTTGTTGCAGCTGTCATTATCTAGCTGGCCCACGCCCAGCTTGAACCCGCCATCCTTGGTGTATATGGCTGGCGCTGTAACCACTGTGCTATGGGCGCCAAGCCAATAGCTCCCTCTCTGGGCTTTATCTTCACACTGTGCTTTTGTGACGGTGCCCGACATTTGATCTTTACAAAGGAACCACCTCTTACTTTTAGCATCACTCGTTGCCTGGAGAGTCTGGGAACTTTCAAACCCAACATTCCCTAGCTCCTTTTTGTTCTTCGTGTAGCTTATTTCTTCCCTATTGCATTTTGTTGTAAGCACCCAGAAGCCAGGAAGTTCCTTCCACATAGTCTGAAACCCTCTGTGGCTACACCGTCCAGCTCTTACTAGGTACACCTTTCCCTTTCCCTGCAGATGCAGGCAGCAGTGTGGTTCAGCTTCCACCATTACAAAACAAGGATTCTTTTTCCTCCAATTCCCAGTAATGCTTTCCTTCCTTTTTTTTTTTTTTTTTTGCAGTTTTTGGCCAGGGCCGGTTTGAACCCATCACCTCCGCTATATGGGGCCGGCCCCCTACTCCTTTGAGCCACAGGCGCCGCCCTCTTCCTTGTCTTTAAGCCCCTACCAGCGGCCTCCCTGAGAACAAGCAGACTTTGGCTCACAGTCTCTTCCGTTTTTTATTTTTTTATTTTTTAGGCTTTCATCAACTCTCTCCTCAAAGCCCTTCCATCTGTGGCCTACGTTTTTACGTTTTCATTATGACACTCATGCCACTTCTGGTACCAAAATCTGCCTTAGTTATCTTTGTACAAATTACACCCAAACTTGGCTTAAGTCAGCTGGAAATATTTATTATCTCACAGGGAGTGGCTCCCCTGGTTAATCATGATTTTGGGAAGGCTCTTAGGAGGTTGTAGTCAAGATGTTGGCTGGGGCTGCAGTTATTGGAAGGACTGGCAGGTCCTGGAGGATTTTCTTCCAGGGTAGTTCCCATACACAAATAGCGGGTTGGCGCTTCCTGTTGGAGAAGGCCTCAGTTCCTTGTCACACGGGCTGCTTCGTAGGACTGTGAGTGTCTTCACGGCATGGTAGGTGGTTTCCTCAAAAGCAAGTGACCCAGGAGAGCAAAGGAAGCTGCATGTTCTTTCATGACTGCACCTTTGAAGTCCCTCTCCATGTTTTTCTTTCTCTTTTTCTTTTTTTGAGACAGAGTCTCAAGCTGTTGCCCTGAGTAGAGTGCCATGGCGTCATACTATGGCATCATAGCTCACAGCAACTTCAAACTCTTTGGCTTAAGAGATTCTCTTGCCTCAGCCTCCCAAGTGGCTGGAACCACAGGCGCCTGCCACAGCGCCTGGCTGTTTTTTGGTTGTAGTTGTCATTTGTGTTCGGCAGGCCCCGGCTGGATTTGAACCCGCCAGCTCTGGTGTATGTGGCTGGCACCCTAGCTGCTGAACCGTGGGCTTCGAGCCCCTCTCCATCTTTTTCACAGCATCCTGATGGGTGCCCAGGTCAGCCCTCTTGAGCCCAGGAGGGAACTATCCAGGGAAGTATCCACAGGAGGCAGGACGCAGTGGAGTCCCACAGAGATGGGCTCTGTGCATATCTGCTCTTTCTGACCTCGGCACAAACCCGTCATAGTAGCTGGCATTTCACACCTAGCTGGGCTGCATTAGATTCTACTGAGAGTTCCCCCTGATTGTGCAAATTCTGACAATGCTACTGTGAAGTGGGCATGTCACCCCACTTTTCTAACAAGGAAATAGAGGCCAGGTGGGAGTGACTATGACTGGGATCTACCACTCTGGTCTGAAGAGACTCCTGCAGGGGCCTGAAAGTTGGGGCTGAGGCACAGGGACACAGAAGTGATGGTGTCTGTGAGCAGTGGCTTGACCACGGGGGTTTGGGTTGATCACATGTTCCTGTCCTGTGCCAGCGTGTGCGGAGTGGTGAGTGGAAGGGGTACACGGGCAAGGCCATCACGGACGTCATCAACATCGGCATCGGAGGCTCCGACCTGGTAAGGAGAGAACTACCTTAGGCTGGGGTGAGGGGCTGGGCGCTCTTGGTCCCACCCAGGGCCTTGTTCCACTGATGGGACCTCACTGTCCATACCTCTTGTAGGCCCTGGGATTTTGTTATCTGATACAACATTTCCCCACAGGGGCCCCTCATGGTGACTGAAGCCCTTAAGCCATACTCCTCAGATGGTCCTCGGGTCTGGTTTGTCTCCAACATTGATGGAACCCACATTGCCAAAACCCTGGCCAACCTGAGCCCCGATTCTTCCCTGTTCATCATTGCCTCCAAGGTATGGGCTCTGACGCGGCCTGACCCCCAGACTGTGCATGTTGGGGTGGGGAGGGATGGATGCTTTGCCATTGCCCTGGGCATCAGGTATTCCTGCCAGCTCTGAAGTGAGCCATGCTTTGTGGATTGGGTCAACAGCTGCCCTCAGACTGTCCCCTTGTCTAACAGACAGCAAATACAAGCAGAGCTGAAGAAAACCTGAATGGATTGATTTGAACCTTTGTCTTTAGGCCACACCCTCTTATTTTGTGGGGTCTCTGCTCTGCCTCAGACTGGTCTCTACTTTCTTCCTTTTTTTCTTTATTTTTGAAAGTTTCACTATATCACCCTCGGTACAGTGCCATGGCATCACAGCTCACAGCAACCTCAAACTCTCGGGCTCAAGCGATTCTCTTGCCTCAGCCTCCCGAGTAGCTGGGACTACAGGTGCCACCACAATGCCTGGCACCTGTAGTGGTGGCACCTGCTGAGCTACAGGCACCGAGCCTGGTCTCTACTTTCTTACAAATCTTTATGTTTACTCCTTTCTTTTCTTTTCTTTTCTTTTTTGAGACAGAGTCTCATTTTGTCGCCCTCGGTAGAGTGCCGTGGCATCATAGCTCATAGCAACCTCTAACTCCTGGGCTCAAGCGATTTTCCTACCTCTACCTCCCAAGTAGCTGGGACTACTTGGGCTACTAGACACAACGCCCAGCTATTTTTTTTGTTGTTGCAGCCATCATTGTTTGGCAGGCCCAGGCTGGATTTGAACCTGCCAGCTCAGGTGTATCTGGCTGGCGCCTTAGCCGTTTGAGCCACAGGTGATGAGCCTATTTACTCCTTTCTGATCCCAGAGCCATGCCTTGATAATATAGGGTCTCTATTGTCATTTATGTCTATTTACTCGCATAAATGTACATAAAGTATTATAAGAATTTCATCTGGGCTAGGAGAGGTGGCTCACGCCTATAATCCCAGCACTCTGGGAGGCCAAGGTGGTGGATTACTTGAGTTCAGGAGTTGGAGACCAGCCTGAGTATGATCAAGACCTCATTTCTACTAAAAATAGAAAAACTACCTGGGTATTGTGGTGAGTGCTTGTAGTCCAGCTACTCAGGAGGCTGAGGCAAGAGAATCACTTGAACCCTGGAATTTGAGGTTGCTGTGAGCTATGACACCATAGCACTCTACCCAGGGTGAAAGAGTGAGACAGAGTCTCAAAAAAAAAAAGAATTTCCTCTGAATTCTGAGATACAGCCCAGCTGGAGCTGTAGGAAGAGAGCAGTGGGTCTGACCTGCAGGGTTCAGGAGAGGGAGGGGCTTTTATTTATTTATTTTTTTGAGACAGAGCCTCAAGCTGTCCCCCTGGGTAGAGTGCTGTGGCATCACAGCTCACA